AATATATATTTATATGTACATTACACAGATACATACACTCTCAGTCAGCAGGATTAAACTGTTTTGTTTTGAAATATTTTGATTTGTGTCACTAATCTACTTATATTATTTTGTGAATTCAATGGAATTATCTATTACCTGAAAAGAAGAAATTTAAAAGATCCAAATGGAATCTGTGGATCAATATTAGCACCAATACAGATGGCCATTACTTCAAAATGACTGCAGGGACTGAAATAACGTATTTTTTTATAACTCTACTCTTACTGCACAAGCATTCCAGCAAAATATTTAGGCAGCAATACCTGTCAGGTCCATACGTCTATTCCTGTTAAATTTAAATTTTATACAACTTTCCTTACTGTAATATACAGTATCTCTTTTTGTCCTGTTGGATTACTTCATTTTTCATGGAGAAAAGTGAGCGATAGCTATCCAACAGAATTGTTTTTTTAAATCCCCTCTTCTCCTTTCATTGTATGGCTCAGTTTCAAGATTTAATCGATAGGCAGCCACCATCACTATAACCAGTACCCTTCTCACACAGTTCAGTCACTGACTGTTGATGGTTAAAACACAAAGTTTTTGAGGTTGGCTTGCTGTTTATGGTAACCAAGATACTCGGAGGTCGTATCTTTTCAGCATGCTCACCACCACAATCATGTCAGTCAGTTCTGATACTATAATCCAATTAGTTACCTACCATTTGGGTAACAAAAATAACAAACCCAGTCGCGATTTTAAACATTAGAAGAATATTCACCCTGAGAACACAGAGGAAGTGTTTAAAAAAATTCTGATATGTTTCCTTTTCATATATAGTTTTCTTCTTCTCATCTCCTCTTGGGTACCTGGGTTTGTATCTAGTATTTGACCTCACACTTGCTTTGTCAGTTGACCTGTTCACGCTACAGTCAGGTACTGGTGATAGAAAAGCCCAAAAAGGCTTGTAGAAAAGAGGCAAGCAGCAATCCACCAGGTGAGGAAAGACAGGAGTCCCCGGAACAGCAGAGGAGTGAAAATATTCTTTAGGCTTCCCAAAGCCATTGTTATTTGTACTACAGTTACTTTCATCTTTCCATCAGCAGGTGGAGACTCAGAATAAACTGAACTGGGAAGCAGACTGTTTTCTACTGGAGTGTCAGAATTCAGCTCCGGGTAGATGCCCCAAGAATAATTACCTGTTAAAAACAAACGAGTAACAGATTTTTGCAGAATTAATTTAACGTTCTGTTATTTCTATCTCTCTATAGATCATTTTAGATATAATTTTCACACACACACACACACACAAATGCGTAGTTTTTATAACTTAGTAAATACTAACTGTATTAATCTGCATGGCTTCCTGATCATACTAATAAGCTATTAGGTACGACTCGTCTTACCTTTTGACATCTTAACATCTACATGTGATATAGCTGCCTTGGGACCCCTGTCAGTGTCGAGTATGATTCATCTCACCAGATGCATATGTCTACTCCAGAATGGGATGAATCACAGCCTAATAAGGACTATCTCTTTCTGTTGACATTGTGCAAAGTATGCCATGACTGCACATGGCAGGCTGTGAAAGACATTCCTCACAAGAAAGAAAAAAAAAAACCCCAGAGTGACATCAGCCCTCCTAATAATGAAATGAACCCCCCATCTCTCAATTTCTGTTCAAAAAGCCCACTTAAGATTGAAAAGCTGAAAAAAAATTCCTTTAACAGATGCTCATAACTTTAAATTAACAATGCTTTATACAACTCACTTTTTAAATATTTTTAAAAAGACAAACATTTCAACAGAAGTAAACAGCTTAATTTGCTGTATTACACAATTTCTCAGAAATAAACAAATTAGTGTATAATTGAAAAATGTCAAAAGCAGCAACATCAGTATGTCTTAAAAAGCAGGAAACTTCACTGCATTTCTGTACTGCAAGTACCTGTACATTCTAATTATCTTTAGCAAGCTGAAAATACAGAAACCCCGTGTAGAACGGAACACATTTTTGTTGATCCAGTTTTGCCTACCTAGTGTTTTCAAGAGCAGAGTTGTGTGAAGGAGCATTACCAATGGTGCAACATACTGCAGTGCAATTACACAAAGATAATAGAATACTCGAGCCACCTGGGAAAACAGAAGAGAGTAATTCATGAGCTCTGGTTGATCAAAGCAAAGCTTTATGAACATGTCTAGGAAAGAACAAGCAATTTAATAAAAAAACCACCCCAATACTTATGCATTAAAGCTCTTGAAAAGTTTTATAGCACATCTTGGCATGTGACATATTGTCTTCAAAAGACCTAATGAAAAAGTCCCTATAATAAACTATAGTTTCAGGGTATTTACAAACCAGAGAGGATGAGCTGAAAGAAAATAATTAAAAGCATTGGTTCTGTTAAAATAAACAGAACCAATTTTGTTTCTGCAAAATGCACGTCACCATTCAAAGATTCCTGTTTCAATACACCAAAATCAAAGCTAAATATGTTTAATTTTTCAAGTCCCCAGTGATTTACAAACTGAATCCCATTTCAAAAATGAAGTAGTAATCACAGTCCAAAGCCTCATAAAAAGTAAATGAAAGTTTGGTTAATATTGCAGTCCCTTTTCAGAAGTGAGATATTTTTAAGATTTCCAACTGTGAAACATCAGTATTTCAAAAACACTGACAAGATGATTTTTCATTAGTAGTTGATCAATAACAGCATTTAAATTATCTTTATTTCAGGTATAAATCTATGGGAACTATGGTCCAATGAAATCCACTCAGACCTATCCCTCCCCCTGCTCCCAATCTGTTCCATCTTTCTCAAGATTGTTACAAATTTTATATAAGCTATTGACCTAAAAGACTATACCAAATAAAGAAGGAAAGAAGTCATAAAATCAATGCAAGCAAGCAATGAAATAATGCTAACTGGATTTTAGAAAGGAACAGAATACAGGGTGGCAAAAAAGATTAAGGCAGACATGACATTTTTGGAAATACTTCTAAAATGCCAAAGGACTAGCAAGCATCAACTTATGCGAGAAGAAAAAGTAGTATGACAAAAAATATTTTAATATAATTGATGGAATACGATAAAAGGAACAAATTAAAAAGCAATGATCACTGCAGGATGACAGACAGGAAGGATTTTACAGAGAAGTTCCAGGAGATGATAAAGCAGACACAGCTAGTAGAGCAAGACAGGACTTCATTTAGTGGTCATGGCCTTCTCTAAAGAGAAGATACGGAGATACTTGATAAATGGATTTAGGAGACACCACACAGAGAAGACATTATTGTTTGATAGATGGAATGAAAGTTCCCAAAACTCGAATCATGCATTCACAGTGATCAGCACAGTTCTGTCCTAGCCAGTTATCTCCTAACCTTCTTCCTGAAGCCAGTTGTTCGCCACTTTGTTTGCAAATAACTACTGCATAGTCCACTTATGACCTTCTGATAGTCAATGAAGCCAAGGACAAGATTAGAAGTAATAGTGACAATTCTGAGAGGAATTTTTGTCTTATGAAATAAGCTCTGGTGCCACAGAAGACATAACAAACTGGAAAAAAAAGCATTTGTACAGACAGAGCACCCCAAATACATCACTTCAGTGCCACCATACTTACCATTTTTTGTAAGTCAACCATACTTATTCTGCCAGCTTCCTTTTTCATCTGATCCACACTTTTCTGGGCTAAATTGAGATAGGCTTGTAAATGATGACGCATCATAGCCAATCGCAAAGCACACAACAGGATTATAATCCACAACCTCATGGTGTCAAATGTATCTTCTGACATTCTGTGGATTAAAAAAAAAAAAGAAAGGGTAATGCTGTTTTCCAAAGGTCATCTACTGGTACAGAATTATTTGTTTGTATCATCTATACAGAAATCTTGAAGTATACTGACAAAAATACGTAATGTACAGTCTACAGTTAGGAAGTTCATGTGCAATAGTCACTTTTGCCCTCTGCTCCCCTTGCTACTGCTACTTCTTAGTAGCCCTATTAAAGCATGAGATCCAAATTAGTATCCATTTGTCTGTAAACAAGAACAGCTCTCAAATGCTCAAATTCCAAGTGATGAAGACAGGACACTAAAAACAAGCTCGCTTAAATATTCACAGATTTTGAGACACACAGATCAAGATAGCAAATGTGTATTTCACTTGCCTTAGATACCCTGTTATAAACACAACCCCCATTTTCAGATAAACTGAGAAACAAAGTGGAAGCACAAAATGGGTGTATTTGCAGTGTTTTATGTACTAGTTAAGTGGTCACTGAATCACTTTAGAAATATATCTTAAGACCTAAAAAGTAATAAAAGTGTCAGCCAATCATATCTGTTTCACGTCTATTTTGAATTATCTAGATTAATAGTGACAATGGCAATCACCCATACTGCTTATAAAATATTTATTTCAGATACCACTCTTCCTAAAAATTCTTTCCCTTTTAATGTTTTAAATATTTTAGCTATCAATTCCATATGCACTTCATCTACATATAGACCTTAAGACAAATTGCTGAGGTCAGTTCTCATGCCAATATATCCCGACTGTCTTCAGATAATCCTCACTTCCCTCCTCTCCTACACCACTATGTAAAATACCAGAAGGTGGCAGTGAGGTGGTTTTCCACCAGAACAATCCACCACTGCCAAGGAGATGCCAGAAGATAGCATCTCTTTGGGAACCTTATCATTCAACACTCCTACAACTAATTCTCCTTCTCCCAAAATAACAAGCCCTTTAGACCTCTGCTGCAATTTCCACAATACCTTTGACAGCAAATGCTATTAAATTTTAAGTCTTCTATCTTTCTATGACTTTCACAGGGCACTTGCTTAGACTTATAGTTTTGTTCTCAATACCCCAGAAAGAATTTTTAAAGGCAATCTTACAAAGGGATGCTCTCTTTGCCCAAAGGTGGGTTCATAATGTAGTCCTTAGTGATTGGTTTTACCCACAGTAGAACCATAAATAAAGGTGCCAAGAAGTTTATATGTAGCAATGTTCTGAAAGAAGAAGAAGAAAAAAAAGGCGGGGAAGTTATTAAATACAAACAATTACCATACGATTAAAACTGGGGGTACAGATTCAAAAGGAGAAAACTAAAATTTTAAAATAGTTGGGAGAAAGGTAAACAAGAAAATTACTTCCCTACTTTATAGGTATGACTTATGTTTCAACAAAATAGTAATATTACACGCTGTGAAATCACACTGGTTGTGGTTTAAAAACAGTGGTCTTAGAATATTTGAAAACATGATTTATTCCAAACAATCTAACCAAATGAGCTACCAGCATTGTGCTACACTATAGTAAAAACTAGACAGCTATTGAAAATTTCCATATGATGGCACAACACCTAACTTTACTAGCTACTGCAGTTTTAATCTAGAGAGTCAGCATCTCAGATGGGTAATTATGGGAAATACGCTGCTATAGTACTGGGAGTTTTTTTGCTTTATTAAAAATGTACTCAGATTAATTTCCATTATCTATACAGATCAGGGGAAACATTTCTCAGAGGTCTGCTTTCTCAGTTTAATGAGGATTTTTACTTACAAACCTTGCCTAAATGAAACTTGGTACTTATATTCAATTAAAGATATTTGGAGCAAAGGAAAAAAGAAGGCAGCACAGCTATTCCGTTTTAAAAGCATCGTATGAAATGGCACAGTTAATGTAGAAGTAGCAATCTCTGAGTACAAAACAGACAGCAGAATTTAATAAGAGGAGATAGCTCTCTGCAGTTTTTCCTCAAATTAATATCCTTCTTAATTTCTGAAGCCCATATTTCAATAATTTCTCATTACTGAAATGAAAGTTGAAGACTTCAGTACTGTAGATCTGGTGGTTTTGCTTCCTAACTAACAGAATCAGCTTGACTATACTTCCACCTCCAACTAGACTGCTTCTACACTACAGAAAAAATGAGGTTATCAAGAGTTATTCTGAAGGATACAAGACCTTACTGATTTCAAACTACCAAGCTTCCTAAAAACCATTAAAATGTTTGCAGCATGTTTCAGAAGATGTCATCATACGTACATTTAAATCACTGTTTGCAGATGAATAACCATGCTCTCTCTGCTAGTTATTCAGTGTTGCTAGGGAACACAGCAGCATCAAAGAACAGTCCAAAGCATTTCAAGTAACTTGTGAAAGCATTTTACCTGAACTTCTACTTATTTAAGCATCCTACTGAGTTAATGCACTGGAATGTGCCAAAGGGTGGCAAGAATCCCTTTATATGAGTACAGGGAGAAAGGCTGAAAGACTCTTGAAGCAGGCTCTGGAAAATGACAGAATGTGTACAAAAATGGTACAAATTCACAAAAAAGACTCCAAAATATATGCAAGGAAGGATATCGCTGCTGAAGAAAAGAAAATTGAACCAGCTATCAAAACTCAAAGGAACATCAGATTGTTTTTATTCTTTACTCAAAAAAAAAAAAAACAAACCCCAACTTACTCCCTATACACATGCAAAAATCATCTTAATCATTTTGAACACGTTACTGAAGTTGTAGTTAACTGTTAACTCTTTTTTGGTTTGGTTTTTTTTTGGAAGCATTCCCTGTAAGTTGTCTCCCATTCTATAATGGAATGGAAAAGGGAGCTTGTCCCCTCTGGTTATTATGTTCTGGTTTATTTGGGGGTTTTGGGGGTGGGTTTTTTGTTGGTTTTTTGAGGGAGCTTGGGGGCTGGGGTTTTTTTGGGCAGCTCTGGGGGATTTTGTTTTGGTTTATTTTTCAAAAGTGGACCATGTATTTGACTGCAGAGAAAGGCACTGATTTCCAGCACCCTAATTAGAGAGCTTTGTAGCAGTGACACATCATCCTCATTTACTAGTCACTGTCAAACAACTGCAAACAGTCAATAACGATCTACTCATTGATAAAAACACATCACTAAGGGCAAATATCAATTTCTTCAGGCCAATTAGAATCTATCACTTGGCAATGATTATTTGTTTATAATTGCATTACCTAATTACATTGATGTCTCACCAAGTTTAAAACCATTTAAACATCATTTTTATATTGTTCCAGTGACTACTGTACTAGTCAAAGTACTGGTAGACTTTTGGAAATAATTTGCTTGCTCTTGCACAAACTTCTCTTCAACAACCAGTTCTATTATCTTCTAAACATTACCTTAGAGGAGATTTATTTTTCATAACGCCATTCTAATGGATATTAATTACCCTTTTAGTTCTTGATTAATGAACTGTTTCAGAGATTTTGTATTTCTGCCTAGGATCTCATGTCCACGTATCAAGGAAGATGTCAGAAAACTAGAGGATACGTACAGAAAAGGCATGAGAAATTTTAAAATTCTGAGAACCACAAAAATGAGAAACTAAGCAGTTTATTTAGCTGAAAAGAACAGATTAGGAAGTGACTCAGTCACAGTCTTACACACAGATAGGAACTTAACAGCGGATACAACAAGCCAACAGCTTGCAGCTGTCCCTGGATGCATCCCACTACAATGAGTGCAAGTATAACACAGAGTACTTGGTTATAAATTTATCAAGAGTGAAGGACCCACTTTAAACACAGATTAATTTTTAAGCTGGGTATTCTGAGGGGAGAAAAATGCAGTTTGAACATAAATAATTTTTTTATCAGAAAATATAACAATTCCCTTAGGAAAGTGACCAGACTAAATTATCACAATGCCCTAAGCTGCAGAATCTGTCATGAACACATATTAAACATCAAAGGTCAAGATCTACAAAAGACATTTAGTTTCTGCCTCAATCAGAGAATACTGAAGATAAATAGTTAAATCAGAGAAAACTTTTTACTACCAAGCTCAAGGACAGCTGAAAATGAAAATAATCCTTTAAACTGCTGTTAACATCTGAATCTTATTAAATATTCTGGGTCATCTTTTCTTTGTATCTTACCCTGAATTTATTAAAAGCAGGATGCCCACCTGGAGGTGTGGGTGGCAAAAACAGTCTGTGGCAGCACCTCTACTTCCAGAAAGTTATTTTAACTTCCAAAGAGATATGATGAGGGAAGGGAAGCAGTAAGCAGAAACATTCATGGTGGAGCTCTTGCAGGAGGAAAGGAAAGCTCCTTTAATTGGGACTCTAATAACAAGGCAAAGAATCTAACAGACTGGCAGAGCACAGGCTGAGCAGAAAGAGGCAGGTGGCAAGTCTGCTCAGATATGAAAAGCAGGCAGCAACAGAAGTCTTAGTCACTACCTTCTTGTTGGAATAGTTTCATTTGTTTATTTTCAGACATTAAAGATTTAAGACTGAGTAGCATATACCTATGTGCATATATTTTTCTCTTACTGTGTTATTTTTTCTGTTGCTAAATTCAGAGCATCCAGATGCATTTGAGCCAGTCGCAAGCCAGGGAATGTCAAAAAAGCACCAATAAGTGAACACAGAACAGCCAGGAACAATTTGAAGGTTAGTTTAGACACAGGACCCCTAAAAGAAAAGAAAGGAAATAAGCATTTTTGGGGAAGAAGGTGGGGGGGGGGGCGGGAAATGGGGAGGGCAGGTATCAGAGACTTAATTTCAACTCAACAGTATCTAACATTTAATTTTAAAAAAACCTAAATAGTATTCTATAGTTTTACTCTGGAACACCAGCATTATTACAGAACAATAAGGTTAAAATTAAAAACCAAGTCACCTCTTTATTTCCTAGAAAAACAGAAAACTTAAGCTACTGCCTATAAGACATTCAGTTTGTCAGTAGAGAAAAACAAACAAACAAAAAATTATAATTAACAACAAATTATATAACAGAAATAGCTAATAGAATAAATTTCATTATTATGTTTTTAAGACAGGAACAGATGCATCGTGAAGTTAAATATCTGTTTTGTGTTTGACCAGTTAAAGTTATACTACTTACATTGTACCTTTAACCATTAAAAGTTCTATGAAACTGTTTTTACTGCAGTTTTTCCACAGGTTTATCTAAAACTTACATGTGGCCAATTAACATTTCTCTTCCAAGTGATCAATATAGTGTTTTAATGAACTACGGAGTATATAAAAAAAATACAGAAAATAATATCCAGGATCAACTGAATTACAGAACTAGCAAAGACTGGATTACACAAAAAACCCAAGTGACATGTAACACACAGATTGAAGAGGAACAAAAATAAATCTACTGATCCACACGTATTTCAGAGTCTTTCTTAATCCATGTCATATAAACTACCAAGAGACACCATCATCAACTCAATTGCTGCTGTAAACAGCCAAAGCACTGAAAAAGTTCAAAAATAAACAAACACTTAACAGGAAAACGAATACAGAAGTTAGTAAACTTGCAATAGCTTATGAAAAGCAGCGTGAAGAAAGGCTAAGAAACACATGGGATTCAGTTAAGGGTTTCCCATGAATTTATTCATAAATAAACTAATTAATTTCCACTAATCTAGTTTGAGGAAACTTCTGTTCCTCAAAAATAAAGATACTCCATAGCTTCTCCTCAATACTTAAGAACTTCCACGCATTCAAAGTTGTGCTCCCACAGTGATGACATACGCTATAAAAGCATTTTAGAGCACACGTATAAAGAAAGAATTGTAACAGAAATCTGTTTTACAACACACAAAGGCTGTTTATGACAGTGATTGTGTATTTATATAACATCACAAGCTATCCTTTGACAGTCTATATACAAAACTTGGATGTCCTGTAGCAACCAGATGTTTTTGCATAATAGGGAAACACTACTACAACCTGAAAATAGGACTGAAAGCCAAAATTTACACCTAATGTCAACTTTTTAACAAGCTCCATCCATAGCCTCTGTACAATCCACTTGCACACCACAGGAATAGCAAAAAATCCCAATTTTTAAGCCATCCTTGTAAAGCTGAAGGGAATTATCATGAAAAAAAATGATAGTTTTGAACTGTATTTTATAAACTACAATCAAAATGTCAGGGTAGAAATTATCCCCCAACTAAAAAGAGAAAACACAAATGCAACTGAAGTTACTTGTGAGTATTGATGAATTCTTTTCATTAACCCACCACTTCACATTATTACAGAGGTTATAAGCACCTACAAGAGCAAAACATGCAAGACAAATGCTTGCTAAGAAAATCCAAGTGGTTCAGTTATAAATGCACACATAAAGCAGACAAATGTATTTCCAGGAACTTACTGGGATTCCAATCCCTGCTTTTCAAGAAACTGCATAGCACTTTCTGAGAAATTTGAGAATCCTGCAGAGAGACATATAACATATGTATTTTATTACAGTACAAAAGCAGAATCTCTTTCTTGAAATAAAATGCTAGGTAACAGGTCATCTTTTAAATAAATTTTCATACGCCTAGTCCAGCTCTTTCATGTGCTAATTAGTATGCCACAATGCAATAAAACTTGATTATTAACATCACTGATATTTTTACACTTCATTAACATTAATAAATTGAACATTATATTTTACAAATATAACTACTTTTTTTTTTTTTCCTCCCAGTAAAGGAGCTTTAACTTTACTATGACAAGGCTAAACAGGGTAAATGTAAAACTGGAAGACAAATATAACTAACAAAACAAACAGCCTAGGCAAAGCTTACACTGTTGAAAGAAAGCAATGAAAATATACAGGATATCCTTCAGAATCTGCATGCCAAAGACAAATTTCTTAGATGAGTTCATTTTAACACAGATATTCTCAAAAACACCTACAAGACTGAATCACTAGAGCTGTTGCAAACACTAAAGGAAGGAATTACCTGATTCCAGTCCGAACTCTAGATAGTTTTCTGTCACAATGAGAATTGCCATTGCTTTCACAAAGAAGAAGAAACCAAAGGTGACACAGACGGATCTTTCACCTCCATCCTCTACTTTGAAATAATGGGTAGTCAATGAAAACAGTACCTTACTACACAAGGAAAGGTCAAGGAAAATTAAGTTTGTAAAATAACTATATTTAAGAAATATAAAGCTGTGTTTTGGTCATCTACACTAGGGCTGTTCTGTAATGCACAGTTTGGGGTTTTTTTTTTAAATAATATGTGTTTGGCTAATTTCAGGTTAAAATTACAGAATACTGTAAAGCATAATAATCACATAATGGGTAGCCAGGAATATAGCACTCTGGAGTATAGTTTCAATTTAGGCTCACTTATAGTCAATTACAGCAATATTCACTATCAACCTAGGAGAACAAAAGCATAGCTTAAATGTAAATGATTACATAATCATAAGTTACATCAAACAAAAAATAAGACAACTGTATTTCAATGCAAAATATCAAGCTAAATGAAAAGTATTCCATCAAAGTACATAACTCAAGATTTAATTTATCTTAATTTCAAAATGCAAAACATTACTTTTGAATGCAACAACTGCAATGACAGGTAAATTAATAAATACCTTTTTAACCAGAGAAGGGCTATACATGTTCCTCCTGGATGCACAACCCTAAGGTTATATAAAACACCAAGACCAGGATGCTCCAAAAAGCCTTTCTATCAGTAATGGGATAAGATTTCTCAGCTATGTGAATTTCTGCTCACATGGACTGCAGATCTGCCTTACAGGAAACTCTGACAAATGGTATGAGATTGCTGCTTAGATTATTACGTGACTGTTTAATAAACAGAAGACATAAGGAAAGATGAAACTTGTATTTCTCTACTTTCACATGCAAATATCTGAGATTTCTTAGCTATCAAAGACAGTAAAACAACAGCACATTTAGTATTATCTAGGGAAGAAAAATCTATCCCATGCTCATGTTGGAGGAGGAAAAAAAGCCCAAAGCTTAAAAACCACTGGGTAGTCTGGTATGATATATTAAGTCCTTTCATGTAACTGCAGTGCCACAAACACGAACACCTAAGACATCACCTGCTCTGTTATCAAGCTGTTTTTAAAATGTTTGAGTAGTCGTTTTTAACGCCTTTCTAACCATAATTTATAGCTCTAAAGTTAAACAGTAGATTAGGATAAATTTTTCATGGCATATTATTAACTCTTATTGCTATGAGCTGCAGTCCATTATAATTGACTTTTTTTCTTTTTCAAATGGCAGACAATAACCAGCCCATGTTTACATAAAGTACTTGGAGATCACTCCAGACATTACCTGCTTTGAAAAACCAAAGAGGAAAAGGAAAAAGAAGATTTTAAGGTAAACTGTACCCTTTTGCAATAACATATTCATTCATATTTGCACTTTTTTTTGATATTGGAAGTATTTTAAGATGTAGATTACATGAAAACATGTTATAGAGTATCTATTCAGTAAAACATTTGAACAGTCATCCGTTAATCTCTCAAGAAACCATATGATTATACAATATCACACTTCATTAAGCAGCACATATTTAACACGCATTGCTGTATTTCATATTATGCAGAGAGGTACTCATATGCACACAATAAAACTGCCTAAGCACAGCAGCTAATGACTCTAAGTGCACAGTAATCAACTTAAGCTCCCTTCATACTTCACAGAAAGAACTGATATATCTAAAGGAAGACTTAAATCATCCTAAAAAGAGGTACGTCCCTAAAAAGAGGTATGTAACAGACTGTGCTCTGGAAAGCTCTGTTTCTCTAATAACACATTCTTAAAACAAATGTGTTTTTGCAACTACAGGTGTCAATCACAAATTGAAAACATATTAATCCCAAAACTTGAAATTATACAAAGGACTTCGTACCAGTTTGTGATCAGTAGTCCTAACCTATAAACAGATTTATGACCTCCTAGATTGAAACCTCCCATTTTCAACTATGGATTGTGCCTAAAGGACGTGGAAAAATGCAGCCAGGAAAAAGAAAGCATACTGACAGTAAATTCCAATTACACTGTAGATTCAGAACCCTATATGCAAGTTAATGATTATGTAAACCACCTGTGACTGAAAGCCTCTGTTAACTGAATAATCACCACTGCTACCTATATTAGGGATGGAGAAAATCGAAGCGTTATGGCTTGCTTTATCACTTCCTTTCACTGCTTGACCTACATTTCAGGACCTACTGAAGAAATAATTTGCAAGTATATAGTGCTAAGTTAATAGATTCCCCACTCCCTCACCTCACCTTTTATTATTTATTTTTTTGGTCATAAAAGTATTCATGATACACGCTTAAAAAAAAATAACTTTATCTTTTAAATTGCTGCAATTATGGAATTTTTGAACAATACAGTCTACTAGTATTTATGCACATGCTTGAAAAGAAAAACATCCATCTTCTGTTTCTATTAAAATACACGAAACTTTTGGATTCGCAAGTGAAAAACAAATAAACTCTTGTATTATTTCTAATTGTGTGTATGTAGAAAAAAATTAAAAGTTTAAGGCTTAGAGGTTATTGTAAGGTATTTGATGACTGACTTTCCCTAGATCAACCTTCAGTCAAGTTAAGACTGCTGCTTTCCTTTGCTCTGCCATTTATACATTTTCCAAAAGTAACCAGTGAAATCTACTAATCCACCAATGAAATTAGATTACTTAAACTTTTTCAGGTAAAACAGCTTCCCATCTGAGAAATACCTTACTTTTGCAATAACACATTAATTTTCGTAAATACCTTGCCTTTGCAACAGAAATTACTGCAAACAACACTCTTTAAAGGTTTATAGACAAAAAGTTAAGTAATCTGACTTATTCAGTTGCTCTCAGTGATGAATATTAAACAGCATGTGCCTAATTACTGTATAAGTACAGTAATTTAAATTAGGCACATGCTGCTATTAAGATGGATCATCTCTCAGTGTTGTCCACCTTACTCTATCCTCACGTACATTCCTCCTCCCACCGATAAAGCATTTTGTAATTTTATAAACCCAATTCTTTGCAAGGAAGGTTGCTGCAACTGCTACATTTAAAACTGTGATCAATAATTCAGTTTACTGATTTTCAATATTCATTCTGACAGAAGCCACCTTTCCAAATTTCAAAGTAACAAGAAATCATCAATCTGTGGATAGTTAATATCTGCAACAAACTGTAAATGAGTAGTAATTCAAACACTGTGGCCTACATCACAATGAGTTTTCAGAAATATTAGCATTACTTTTGCAGGAAATATTGCAAAACTCATTTAACGCCAAAATTGAGCAACCTGGTCTAGTGGAAGGTGTCCCTGCTGCTGGCAGGGGGATTGGAACTGGATGATCTTTAAGGTCCCTTCCAATCCAAACCATTCTATGATTCTATGATTCACAATCAGGAGGGTCCAATGACCAATAATCTGCCTTACAAAAAAAAAAACGCCACAAAAAACCCAACCAACACCTCATCTTTGTTTTTCAAGATCTTTTTTTACTCCTCTTCAGGTACTGGAAATAGTTCAGTGAGTCCAGGCTATTGCATGGAAAGTGATCAACCAACACAACACGCTGCAGCATTTCAAAATGTCCTTGCCCATGGCACATGGGTTGGACTAGATGATCTTTGAAGGTCCCTTCCAGCCCAAACCACTGTGTGTGTGAGCAGGTGGTACAGCAGATCTTCTAAATGCCACCTCCAAGAAACACTTTTGAGTCTTCCTGAAACTACCTAGCCTTTAAAGATTTATTTTTCTGTTCTGCTAAAAATAATCAAAACATCAATTTCTGAAAAACAGAGCTCAAAAAAAATTCCAATAATCAATTTCAACTTCTCTAAGCTTTTTTTGGTCATTCTGTGTAGACAAATCCTTAGTACAACCTACCACCTTTTGACATACAGCCATGAAACAGAGGAAATACCTGTCATCAAAAGACAAAATTGTTCTAGAATTAATTCTTGACATACCATGTTGACTGCTTTCAACTGAATATATGGAAGCAATCAAATCTTCCAAACACTTAAATTATGATGAATCATTTCTAGTCTTGGCATATTGAGTTACTAAATAGTTGTGTAAGTTTTAAAGTATTCTCAGCATCCCAGAGGCCTGATGTCACAACACATGAACGAACCAGTTCTCTTTTGAAATCCCTTTTCACCTGCCTAGGTTCCAGTGGTCACAAGGATTGTTATCAGTACCTCTGTAGATCACTCTTTGCACCATCCTCCTTCACCTAAAAAACCATAATGCCCGGAATAAGGTATGTTAACATATTTAAGGAGATGTTAACTCTAATATAAAGTTTAGACTGTGCTGCCTGGTGCTGCAGCCTTCTGCATTGCTGTTAACTCCTCAGATTGCACAGGATCACATTACTTCATCCCATCAGTCCAGGAACCACACAGGTAATAAAGCAAAGCCCTATTCAATATTAGGAAGCAGTGATTTCACAAGGATTTCTACAAAATCGCCTACTCTGTGCAGAAGCTTCCAATAAAAACAAGGTCTATTTGATGCCACAGAAAAAGAAAAAATTAAAGTTGTACAAAGTGGCAGAAAACTAGGTCTGACCATTTGTTTCCTTTGTATAATTAATAAATGACTGTTCAATTATCTAGAACTGGATAAGTAACAGATTACACTTGTATACAGGTTTGTTTTTTCCCAGAATTTGTTTATTTCTGAAGGCTTGGTTCTATATATTAGACCATTCTTCTCTATGCTCTGCCAAATTTGCATGTTTTCAGAAGTGCCATATGATTTTCAAACTTCAAACTTCTCTAACCTTTCTCTCACCCCAACAAATTGACAGAAGTCCCTGAGAATTTTCTCTCTAAAGTATGCTGCCTATTACCAAAACCTCAAAACAATATTGGTGCCTTAGACAATAAATGCCTGGGTATAAAAATGCTAAAGCATGCAATTAACTGTTCAATAAAACTTTGCTTTTAGCACAGGATCATTTGCTTTTAATACAATTCTATCTGATCTTACTTAGTTATGTCGGAAGGCTAGTGAGAAAATAGAGCTAATGTGCTTCTAACATGCAGGGAATACTAGATTTGTTTTAATCTCCTCCAGGTCCAAATGTGAAATTAGATCTCAAGTGCTTCAGTCAGATTAGGATAAAACTGGAAATGCTGGTTTAGGCTCAATTAATATAAAAATGGCAGGTGAGAAAGAAACAATCAATCAAAAAAAGACCCTAATAAGGTACTTGCATGTTCACATCACTGAGACAGAAAGCTTGCACTGCCAGGCCACTTAATATTTTTTAATTTCTGCATTTGGTTTTGCCCTGAATTGATGACCAAATGAAAGCAGTGATTAGGACTGCATTCAAATACCACTGTAAGAAATAATTATTGCAGTGGATTTCCCTACAATATATAATTCACAACTCTGCTTCTCCTACAGGTGCAATCATCGTAGTATTATTTGTTGGCTACACCCTAGATTTGAAAGATGAAGCAAATAGGGCATTGTCACCATCAAATTTAAGAGTGTATTGTGCCTTTAGTATTTTAAGCTTGTTTTTCCATTAGTTCTATTAACCACCCCCTCATTCTCAAAATAAGAGCCAAGGGCGTTGGTTTTCATTTCTGGTTTCTTAAGCAGTAGTTGTCTTGTCTCTCTCTCTCTCTCCTTCCCTCTGCCAAGATTAAACTGGAGTTCCTGACTTCACCCAAACAAATAAAACAAACGCTGTGCAATAACAGCTATATATTAGCTATAATATAGCTGTAACATCATAAAGTGCTCAAGAGCCAGATACCTACTTTCCTGTCACTATCTAGTAGAGTAGAAAAAAACACCTTTCGGACTGTGGATCTGTTCACTGACAAGTCAAAGGAGGAATATTTGGTCTGGACTCACGTTTTTCAAAATGTGACTCAACTCCCTCTTCTAACGAGTTCTTACTCATTACAGAGAAAATGCTGGATATCATTTATACCTCAGGCTACTTAGAAAAAGAATTCTTGTCCTTACTGTAAAGGCAGCACACATTTTAGTAATTATCAAGTACAGATAAGTATTAAGCATATCCAGAACTGTTAGCCAAATATAACCAAACTTTAGAATTCAAGGGTTTCACCTAACATCACCAGCTACTGCTAAAACAAAAACAACAACAACAACAAAATCCCTGCAACACAGTAAGAATCTCTAATGAAGAACAGGCATTTATACAGAGGTATTCATTTTGAATATTCAAGTGCTGTATCGACCCTAACTTAGCACTTTATCTGGTTGCCAGCTCTTCAGAGAGCAGAGGAGTTGCAGAAATTAATTCTCTAACTCACCTTTCCGTAACCTGCACTCTTGCAGGCCCTTATTGAATTCCACTGCTTTATCACCTATCACATCTTTAAAAGGCAACTTTCCCCCCTAATGTGTATGTCTGGATTGCTATGTGGAAAGTGGTTAATTACCGTGCAAGTCCGATTTTGCCTTCTCCAGTAAAAGCAAACGTAATAGTTGCTTCTTTTTAGGGTTTAATATTGCTTGTTTCCCAAATACTCTGGTTTTGTTTCCCTCAGTTTCAGAGAGGAGTCCAGCTCTTCACAAAGCTTTGAAAACGTACCACCTCAGCTCCTACAACTGTCTACACATTTTATTTTCTGTACACTTCGTAAAATACACGTGTAAAGTATTTTAAAACTATGAATTCACGCATGCATCTTTGCAATAAATTAGTATACACGTTACTGTACTAATTTGTTCAGGAATTATCAGATTGAACATACTGAAAACAAAAAGTGTGTGGTAAATTGCATACTTCTCCAAAAGCTGTAAATACTTTCTGTACAGAAATCTACTGATTGCCAAACTGAGCAAAACCAAATTAGTTTAGAACCATCACATTACTACAGAGGAGCACTAACTGTATGTTTGCATACATGTATTTTTTACATAAATATTTTTAATATTTATGTAAACAAGCTATTGATATCAGCATGCACAAAGAGCATGCACAGCATATACATCACCCAACAATGGCATTAGCTTACATGACCCTCTTTCCAAATTCTAAATATTGGAACTCTGTATGAATTGCAGAATGATGTAAACTATTTGGGACAGATACAGTGATTTAAGAAAAAAACAGAAAAGGATACACTGCAAAAGCCAAGACAAGTAGACACCATACTACGCTAATATTCATTTCTTGCGAAGGCTTCACAATACTGTAGTAGGCTTCAGTCACCACATACACAACTGTAGCTGCAACAGTGAAATCCACCAACCACTGATATTCTGGGAAATAATGCAATGCTGAAAAATAGAAGTTTGCAAATGTTAAAGGTGTGGTATTTTAAGGCAGTTACTGACACACATAGAATAGAGTGACAATCAAAAAATGTTTTCAATTAACTGAGGTCTAGGTAGGTTCAGATCATCTAAATAAAGAGCAATGACAGCAAAAAAGCCACATTTTTTCTACTCAACAACCTGAACTTTGCTATTCACTTTTGTTATTCAATACTTGAATACTACTCAAATTTAGAAGGCTACAAGACTTTACTATTTTATCATCTCAGCTTTTATACACTGACATCCTAAATCAAAAGCCATACTTAATTTACATCTCAACATCATGACAGAAAATGGTTCTCCAAGTGAATTTAGCTGCAATTCCAGGTAAAGAGGTTTTTCTGACCCTGTGTTAATGAATAAAAGCCCATTGGCAATCATTTAAAATATTACATATAATCACTTCCTCTTTAAA